GTTACGAATTTCTGATAGTTTAGGCTTTGTGTTCTAAGGGCTGTTCTTTCAAGTATCCATGTCCACTGTACACCAGTAAATATTTCCCGTTCGCAAGCGATTTTTGTTAACTTCGCGGGGGAGCTGTTTTCAGTTGCAACTGCTGAAATCAAGGTCGCGTTGTTTTGCTTCGCTGTGTTTGTTGTTCTTACCTGGGAAGACTATTGGTAAGTCGACGTATTTTCTATCATATGTTGATTTATTCTGTAGTGAAACAGCATGAAATGGCGTGGGGCTTTTGAGGAACCATTGATCTACATTCGGGTTGTTGATGGTTAAAAAAAGTTTGTAAAAGTTTCTCGTTTTGTGTGAATTTGTTCATGCTTCGAACTTCAATAATTTATCGATAAAAGCAAACGTATTTCGAAAGTTGTGAAATCATGGTACTGTTTTGGCATTATACGCAGTTCCCCTTTGATGGATTTTGTGTGACTGGCCGTGGTGTTTGTAAACTTATTGAACTGTAGTATTATCCTTCGAACTTCCCATTGCCATCGGGAGTATGTCTACTACACTCGGTGGTGTAGTGGGTATCGATCTTCTTGTATATATATATCTATTATATGAAACGCACCCGAACCCGGAAATCGACAGCAAATCAGGTTGGTCTTGTCACGTAATTTCTTACCTTGTTCTTGATCGCAGTACGCTTGGCTATGAACTTCCACATACTCACGCTAATGGGAATAGTGCATCGTGGGTTATACTGTATTGATCGAGGTGAAACAAAAATCGCTGCCGTAATGCCTGTTGTTCGACTACATCGCTAGTGATTCTTGTTCTGTCTTACAGTTCTCTGTTTTCCTTGATTTTTATTTCAATTAAACAGCGATTTGCTTGTGGCCATGCATTTAGTCGATATCGACTGTTTTTCTCGAATTGGTTGATTGTCATAGTAACATACGCTAAGTACAATTAAACGTCCCGATCTGAACACTGGCAGTAGTCAATTCTAAGGTTCAAAATAAACAAACATGACTATTTAATTTAGTTTAATTCCTTTAGTTAAAATTTGAGTTTCCAAAATAAATAAATAATAACACGTACCCTCTCAGATTTCTTTATTTTCTGCCTGTTCGTCAATCCATTGCTCCAAAACACGCCTTTGAATACTCTTATTTTCCCAGCATTGAGATGGATCTGACAACTCTTGTTATGTTTTTTCAACATCACTTCACCCTATTAACAATTCACCCCTAGACGTGATAATTTCATCTCAATAGTAATAATCCGTCGTCAAATATCTAAATTATCACAAACCTCTTCTTATCCATGTTTTATTTTAACCACAAGCGAAACGAGTGATCTGGGGTATACTTTTTTGATGCTATATGATAATGCTAGACTAAGTGTCACGTGAAACCAAATCAAAATCATTCTAAAATAACGTACTGATACCCAAATGATTCTTGATTCATTGGCCCGGGAGAAAAACAATTATTTTTGCGATAACAACCGTCGACCACGTCGGGGTTGTGACGTTCGGTGGATGATCTATTAGTACTGGTTGAATCTACATGAATACTAACGGATTTCACACAACCGATTGTTTTTGTTGTTTGTTTTTTTTTGCTTTTTCCGATTTTTAATATGTTCAATAGGTTTAGAATGTGAGTGTGACTAAGCAACTTGATTTCGTTTCTAAAATATTTTTTTTATCGTGATTTTATTTTAATCCATTGTAATAAAGTCGACACAATAGGGGTCTTAGACACTAGTATCATGGCACGATGCATGTACTTGCATAGCTAGAGGGTACGACCGGAAAGTATACGTCTGTGTAAGCTGGTGATGAGATCATCTTTTCATTTGTATGAATCATAACGGTGACACAGTATGCCGGAAATATCTATTGCAGACAGCTGCGTTTACACGACAGCATTTTGTAAACACTACGATAAAGACTTTCCGTTTTCGATATTGCGAAATTATATTGTTTTGTGGAAGAAAAAAACAATAACTTTAATAAATATGATTTTACTTGGTAAAAATGCTGTATTTTTCTGCATAAAAACAAAAGTATTTCACAATGTCGAAAACTGAAAGACTTTACCGCAGTATTTTTATTAAACTTTGATTGAGGTGTAATACCTCATGGGACAAACGAAGTCACGTTTTAATATTTGAATCTGATTCAAAACGCGCTTCACGGGGAAACATCGCTCAAAAAATAAACAATCAACAGAGGATAATCTGCAACGTGATTAAGAAATAGTGGGAAACACAGCTAGTCCAGAGTGGTAATTTTAAAATGGATGTCTTATTTCATTCAGCCATACTCATACCCATACTTTTCTGTACTGGTAACAGAAGCTACAGAACATAATTCGCTGGGGAAGAACAATCAATAGATGTGTTTTTAATGTTGATATTGTATGAAGAAATAACAAGTGAACCCAAAGTATGTGGAAACAGATATAACGGTAAAGAGATAATGTTAAAGCACACCTTGCAACGTATTTGGTATAATAAGAGTGGGTTGATTGCTTCTATAAATACAAGAGCTAAAATACACATGTTATGCAGCTTTTCTTCTAATACGCATTGACCTTTTCTTATATTCTGGCATATAAAGAAAATTACGTTTTCGGAAATTCTGTTAACTCGTCGATTTTCTTCAACGAGCATTCTCGTTCCACTCGGTGAAGAATGGCTGACTATTATTATTCAAATTACGGCAGTTTGCATAGTCATGATCAGATGAAATGTGATGGGGGGGGGGGGGCTAACATAAGTTTATGGTTGTAAAGGGCGCATGTCAACAAACCGGGAGAATATTTGGCAGTTCTCTATTATTGCGGGAAGTATTTATTTTGAATGTGTGATACATATTCAAAGTGCGTGGTAATATAATTTTCCATAAATCAAAGAGGCAATGTTAATAATATTTGGTTGAACCTTTTTTTAAATAAAAAATCATTATGGTCAAGTAGTCAAATAGTAACTTGTTGTAAAGTACCTGGATGCATATTTATTAGTTTGTCATCCTATAAATAAAGACATATAATATTGTTCCTGTCAAGATTCAATGCTCACAAAATTTCCAAAAGTTGTGTATAATAATAGCCATTTGAGTCGCTTCAGAGCTGAGACCATATTCACCGTTCTATTTGTGTGCAGAAATCTTTCGGACAAAAACATATGGGATGCATTCAGTAGATATTGATTGCATATTATTAAGACTGTATGGGCATATTTCAGGGATAATATACACACTCGTTTAATTATTGGGCTAATTTATTTTGAAACGTTTATACAAGCTGCTATAGCAAACACGCTATTGCCTATTTGAAATTCCCTGTATCATAAACACTGAATTCACTTTATTTCAATCATATAATACAACCAAACACACAACTTGGCCACACCATTTTTTTATATAATTTAAATACCATTTCCCCCCATCTCAGAACCCCGGCGTTTCAATGTAATAACTATTGTATATATGTTATATTATAACAGTAATTTCAAAACAATATATTGTATTAGTACAGCAACAAGCTATTATAAGATAAATACCCTTTCTAGAAAAGAAAAGAAAACAAAATCAAAAGCTTGTCAGTGTTTCTTATTAGGAACTATTCCAAAAAAACAACAACAAAAAACAAAACATTAAGGCCAAAAAATTGTTTTGTTGCCATCAGCGACTGACCGAAAAATATGAAATATCAGGTCGCAGTTTTTTTATTGTTTTGTTTTAATAGGCTCAAAATTTAAAAACATTTTAAGCAGTAAAAAAGTGTTTCCTCTAAAAATTAACGATCCTGGACCGTTGTTTGATCCTCAGGGTCCCAGGGGGAATAAGTGGTGACTTTGAACCTCGGGTTGATCTGTATTTAAATACAAAAGACTGAAGGAAACACTTTGATTTTTGTGTTTAATGTCGTTTGATTGATTCCCATATACCTCGGCTGTTTACGATACCCTTAGTTTTCACGAGTTTAAAAAAAAAAACCCGACCGACCGACACAATTTTTCAATTTTCTGACTTGAGGGCAACATAATTTTTTTTATTGGCCTAATGATTACTACTGAGGAAGTGAGAACATCACGGGGCATTTGCACGGGTAGTTGAATATTCACTATTTACATTCAACCATCCTTAATACAGTCTCAGACAACTAATAAACTTATTGGTTGTCACAGCCATAGATCGACCGCATCAACACTGAGTAAAATTGTCACTGAAAACAGTGTGGGTCATCATGAGTGAAGCAAAATTGACCCAGATTGCTGTGCACATTAAATCACAGACCATTAGTGAAACATGATCTCAGCACTAATGACAGCTTAGTGACAATGAAACAAAATACAAAGTATTTAATCAGAATATTTTGTTTTCTTTTCTTTTATTTTACATTTCTGAACCTCTAAGATTTGACTTCTGAACTAACGACTTCTGATTTCTGTCCATTGAAGGCCTTTCATAGTGTATAAAATGTCAACTGCCAATTGCAATTGCCAAATTAGTATGCATTTCGAAGAATTGCTTTGGTGTACACGCGTAGATGGCACTCCAGCCAGAACAGACATTGACTAATGCATACTACTTCAACAAATCACCCTTCTATGTAACGACGACGACCATTAACTTCGCCGGTTTAGGAGCGTCGTTTTATTTGGCCAAAATAGCACCCTCTAGTGTAAATCCTGCTGGGCATACTGTTTATATTAATTAAGTAATTGTTTTTTACTTCGTGGAAAAAAGATCATTTTCAGAATAAACCCACAATGCGTGGCATCCTTGTAAAATCAAGGATCATCATTCTCAAAACAACCCCACAATACAATGCGCTCACACAGCTGAATGAACGTCCTTGTGGGGGTGAATCAACATCACAAAAGACGGACTTTCAGACCGGGCATTAAGGTCGCGTGTATTGGGTTTCTTTGCAATCACGTGACATCCGACCTCGGTATGTAACACCTACTTTGTGCAAGGTGACCTTTGTATTATTCAGCAGAGCTTGAGAACATCGTTTCTGGGTCGCTGTGATAGACCGCGTTTAAATCGGTGAGTTATCTCTGCATTTTGGGTAAACCTGTGTCCAGGACTGTGGCCGGGGGTTTGAGTTGTATCTCGAGATGTTCATAATCCCCGTTACTCGGTGATGTTCGTACGCATGGCGATATGAGCACAACATGGCACCGTTTAACTACCTAACGCCCAAACAAACCCACTAACGTCACTATAAATCAAAGGCTGACTATAACGAGGTGTCGTCGATGTTTTTTCTACATCAGTTGCCAAAATGTGCATAAAGGTAGAAATCAAATGTACCGAAACTCCCCCTCAGAGTCGCATAAACTTCAAAGAAATTACAATCGTCAAGTATTACGAAAGATGAAAACTTACAATATTAATAAGAATAATAAGCAAACAGTTAAAATAAGATATGGTAAACTGTTTTTTACAATGCGATAGTTTGTCGTGCATATTACAGTAGTTGTAACAAGATAAGAGATAACAAAGCTCGGAATTATCAGCTGATACTACTTGATTACGCCCTCTTACGGTGGCAGCAGGTATTCAGCCTACTTGTAAACATTCATGAACAATGTGCAGTTCCTGTATTGTACTTAACTAACAGCGACCCATGAGTGTGGTGATATTTTGTCCATATAGTGCTATGTCCAGTCGTTGCGTGAAGCATATTTGGTTGAATCGCAAAAAAGAGAAAAATAATGATATGCAACCGAAATCCAGTATGTAGAGTCATTATATTTACTTTGAACGAATTCATGTCAGCTATCTCAGAAAAACAGTTGTAGAACTGTTTTATGTTGTTGAACGAATCGATTCCAAAACAAGGTGCAGTGCATGTTTATGTCTCAATACATTGTATTGTATTGTAGAATCAAAAGTGACTGAAACAAACGAAGACATGAAATAATAAAACAAAATGGCATCCATTCGGCCATACACATTATAAACATACCAAGTTTGATCAAAATCGCCTCGGTCGACTGTGATAAATTTCTCAGGACAACTTATAGTGTCAGAATATAAGAAGTCATTTTTTCTCAGATCATTAATGTATACCAATATGTCTTCGGGTAAAAGATCTGATAATGCTTCCAAGAAAATGCTCGGATGGAAGGAAAGAACCCGAATGAATGGCCCTGTTATAATTACCAAAAGCCAACGGTACCAATCAAATCAAATGTTATAAATTGTAACTCCCATCATAACCACCAATCAAATCCACTGTTATAACTCGTGACAACCATATAAGTACCAATCAAATTCAATGTTATAATTTGTAACTCCCATCATAACTACCAATTAAATCCAATGTTATAACTCGTGACAACCATATAAGTACCAATCAAATTCAATGTTATAATTTGTAACCCCCATCATAACTACCAATCAAATCCACTGTTATAACTCGTGACAACCATATACGTACCAATCAAATTCAATGTTATAATTTGTAACTCCCATCATAACTACCAATCAAATCCACTGTTATAACTCGTGACAGCCATATAATCATATACAATGTTGTAATTCGTACCTCCAAACATAACTACAAATAAAATCCAATCTTATATGTCGTAACAGTCATAACTACCAATGGAACCCAATGTTATAATGTGTAACTCCCATCATAACTCACAATCGGTCCAATGTTATAATTCGTACAAACCTTATAACCACCAATCAAATCTAATGTTATGATTCGTAACTCCCATCACAACTACCAATCAAATCCAATCGTGACAGATATAAGTACCAATCGCCAATGAAATAGGAGGTTATATTTCGTGACACACCAATCAAATACGATTATATTATTCCAGCCAGCATGAGCACCAAACAAATATGTTTTCACTATGGTTACCGAACACAAATGTCAGACATGAAACTTCAATCGGCCATCACAATGAGGCAATTGGTCATTTTTCCGCGAACAAAGAAAATTTGATGTTAGATAAATAAGGTATTAATAATTCACATGCAAATCGTGTGTAAACGTCATTGAAACATCATTAGTTCATAACTAACTACTAAGCAACCATTAAAACATTTGAACAACATTTTTTTTATCCATGTATGTTACCTTAACATCACAGAGGCGCGTTGTCATTAGAGGTGTATTATGTTATGACCTTGACGTTTGCGTTTAATATCAATTTCAATATTTAATAAATAGAAGTGTACACCGATTTCCAAAACGTAGTCATTCACTGTATCAGACGCAGTTAAAACAACATTAATGTTGCTTTTACTTTTTTCCAGAAACGTACACATCAGGCAATATGAGATCGAATAAGCTTTCACGTGAAGATATTCCAGGTGACGAGATTGACAACGATCAGTCAGATGAAAAAGTACCCCTTCTAAGCGATAATGTCACCGAGACTACAAAAGAGAAAATAACTCGAGTTTATGGTGCACTGAAGCCATTTGTGATCATCAGCTCCTCATCTGCTTTATACCATCACCGATGGAGCTGTGCGAATGATTGTACTTCTTCATGCCTTCAGCTTGAACTTCACAGCCTTGGAGACGGCCATCATGTTCTCCCTCTATGAACTGGCTGGCGTCTTCACAAACCTGGTCGCAGGTGTTGCTGGTGCACGTTGGGGGATAAAGTCAACTCTCATTACAGGATTGTGTCTCCAGTTCGTTGGTATTGGCATGTTGTTTGGCTGGCAGGAGAACTGGACCAAGTCAATTGGCATAGTTTACGTCACAGTGGCACAGATGTTCTGCGGAATATCCAAAGATCTCGTCAAACTCGGGGGGAAGACTGTTACAAAACTCGTCACTCCAGAAGATAAACAGACACGCCTGTTCAAAATAGTTTCTTTGCTGACTGGGTGGAAGAACACCCTAAAAGGCGTTGGATATTTTCTAGGATCGGCTTTGTTAATGATTAATTACTATTTATCATTGGGGGTTATGTGTGTACTGATTGTATGTGCACTTCCATGGGCTATATGTGGACTCTCCAAAGACTTAGGCCGTACAAGACGGGAGAATATCAAGTTGAGTACAATATTCAAGAAAAACTTCAATGTCAATATCTTATCTCTCGCACGTTTTTTCTTATTTGGATCTCGCGATCTTTGGTTTGAGGTGCCTCTTCCGTTTTTTCTTCGGAGCGACGACGGGATTGGATGGGAGCGGGCTGCAGTTGGAGCGTACCTTGCAGGCTGGATAATTATATACGGGCAGGTTCAAAGCTGGAGTCCGCAGCTACTTCTGAAGCCGTTGCGGCAATCTCCAGCCAATAAATGGGTCTGTGCTCTGTGGGGGTTTATTTTGATAGTGTGTCCAGTGTTCCTTGGCTGTTTCCTGCAGTTCTCCCACGCCATTCAAGAACATGTTGTTGAAATCATGACTGCTGCCATAACCGTTGGCCTTATCATGTTTGCTGTTGTGTTTGCTGTCAACTCGGCGGTCCATAGTTACTTGATTGTTAAATATTCGGAAGGGGACAAAGTAGCAATGAATGTTGGTTTTTACTATATGGCTAACGCCATGGGAAGACTCACTGGTACGCTTCTTTCAGGTGTCCTCTACGACTATGTTGGCGCTGCTACTTCCACCGCTCAGGGATTCGCGTCCTGTTTCTGGGTTTCCGTAGGATTTGCTGTCGTAGCTGCGTGTGTAGCCCTCTTCCTGAATGACAATTCAGGTGGATTGCAATGTGGGCCATGTTTAAACTGTTTAAATTCTAGGAGTGGTACAGGAGAGGGTCGCTATGAGGTAATTGACAATAAAGATGACAATGAACCAACTCAGTCGTCAGCGGTGACACACACTGCCTAAGGTAGCATACTATGAGGTTATTACAAGAATAACTCACAGTATGAATGAAGACAGTACAGCTGGAGTATCGACCGATGCGAAGCGTCCCTTGGGCTCATATATTTTTCTCATTGAGGGTTGACACGCATGTTGTTCGGCAATATCACTGAGATTATTCCATTATTCATGTATGTGTTTCCATATTTTATAATTGAACTTGTAGATGAATATGAATAAAGAAATTGGAAACACAATAATACGAATAACGATTCCCAATGAAGTTATTTTACTTTATTGTTGTGCTCTGACTCATGTGTGGCTGTAAGACAATTCCTTATTCTGTCTGCCAACCTTTTAATATCTATTAATCTGCAATTGTTTAGTTCATGTGTGTAGAATTGACAAAACATTTTGTTAAAATTTGTTTAAAAAATCTACTTAAATAAGAAGATATCATTGGTTTATTAAACAGGTCTCTATCCTAATTGTCGTACATTCATGATGCATTCCATTAAAAAAATATCCTAGTTTACGCATTTCATTTTTTGTCATTTTTTTAAATATGTATTTAATTATTTATTTGTTACATACTTTATTTTATTTGAATTTATTGATTTTCATTTGCTTGCAGCTCATTTAAACTGTTATTAAACGCGAAAGCCCACAAAGTTCAGATGTATCCGAGAATAGATATTAGACGCAATAAGAATTTCATAATAATAATAATTCCAAAATATTCGAACAAATATAGTACAAAACAAATGAAAAAAACTCCCTCTACTCTGCTCTCAATTTCCACTGTCCTCGGAAAAATTGTAAAACCTTCCCATGAAATTGTTCCCCGTCCTCAAAGATCTTTCTGGAACAGCTTTAGATGAACAATTCAATGGACTACACCATGCGTTACAGTAGCATCAAAATAGCGTAGACGATAGAAACCTACTTTGGATTTTTTGCGTAGTCGTTCATCATTTAGTATGTAGTAAATCTCCCCATAACAAATAATGTAGTTGATCGATGTCGACACTGCACGGCCTTTTATCATCCGTTGCGTTTTAGAGTTGTTGACCTCATCGATACCATCCTCTGCGTTTCAGTCTGAGAGTTGTTGACCTCATCGATACCATCCTCTGCGTTTCAGTCTGAGAGTTGTTGACCTCATTATTTTTTGCAATTCATAGGGAGGATGTACGCTTTCGACAACAGTCATTCGACCATGACTCAGCAATTACTAAGGTCGTCATTTATAGTAAATTATTTCATCTATAACATGAGAAATACTGATGCGAATTAGTTCAAATTTTCGTTGTGCATATTACTCATGTATATAATTATAGTAATGGAAATTAGAATATTACAAATACACATAAAGTGAAGATATTGCTAAAAACGTTAAAACAAATAAAATCGATATTTTAGTCGAGAAATATAGAATGATATTTTTTTGTCCCCTTATTGTGATCAACATGTAATATATCACCTATATAACCTACTCACATTGGTAAATTGTATACAATATAAGGAAATTTGAGCATTTGGTAGAAAAACATAAAAATAAATATTTTCAGTTCTGTTTCCATGACAACTATTTTATAAACATTGGTGGCAGCAGTACATGTATGCTACCAATTTCTAAACGTTCAGCCAATTTGAAGTTTAACTTTTGAAGTTATAGATGAAATCATTTTCTCAATTTCTGACAACTTTACCCATAATCCTTTGCTTGAAAATCAAGATGGCTGACTCCATAATACTGACGAAAAGTTGAATATCTAGAGAATGAAAAGTGACATCAAAAACTGTAAATTGCATTCTCCTACATTTGTGGAGCTTTTTCTTTAGAGGTCATTATGTTGTTTGAATTGATGTTCCCTTTAAAGCGGGGGGGGGGAGGTCGTCATTTGCGCATGTGCCATAGCGTGTCATTGTTACCAAACAAGCGTCTGCCCGTGAGCCTTTGCGTTTTTAGCGTGTGTTGTTATCGTCGCTTTGGACTCAATTCTCGCGCGTGCGCAGGTGACGACCCTCCCGCTTTAATTGAAAGATCAGTTTCCACGATACAGTATTTTGTATCTGCTTGACTAGGTGTTTTACGTCATTAAATCAGCAACAATAGTGTTCATTATAAGAAATAATTACCACCGCCTCCACGAGTTTGCTTTATCAGTCATAATCTGCAAGCGTTGACATGATAAAGGCAAAATGCCATGGTACACTCTTTCTAATACTGACTGCGCCGTGGAGATTAGGACAAACACTGATAAAAAGATAATATTGAATATTGTGTCCCGGAACAACTGAATATGACTGACTAGACTGCTTGTCCCGCGGAGATGCAACGCCGCACTTAGTCCCAGACAGCTTCAACAAATTACGTACATGTAAATACATGCATGCATGCACGTCAACTGACCGATTTCGGTTTGATAAGAATGTTGGATTTTGCAGGTTGCCCTGGTTACGCATTGCAGGGGACTAAAGTGGAACTTATATGCCGCATAAAACTATCGGAAACTAATATCGTGTTTCTAACACACTGAGCTTGAAGTCAATTTGGGATATGGCAGGCCATCTAAATTAACGAATCAGGGGTCATTATTTTTGACCAATCAGTAATAATATTAATAGAACAATTACAATTACATTCGAGATTAAGTTTTCCCGCCACTAGCCGAACGGTCATTTTAACCACAGTTCCTCTAACACGGGGCCAAGGAATCCACGGGACCAGGAATAGACTGTGTTTTACCCTATATAATCTGCGTATAATCTTATGGTTATTAGTTTTCTCTACGTATTGAACGTAGTTGCTATTTCCTATTGTACTAGTTGTGTCTGTGTATTAATTGTTGTCAAACCGACTTCAAAAATACATTTTTTTTCTACACAATAAAACGTGCTTTCCATTAAAACCAACACATGTTTGGAGACGCCGGCTACCTTAATGTGGATGAGTGTTAGTAACATTCTACTTCCGGGTCCAACCTTAGGTCTAGCGCCCTGGCCTAGTGTAGACACTTTAAACTGTTGGGCTCTGTTTGGTAGTATTGAGTGAAGAACTTGTATGGACCTAATAGACCATTCCACTAAATCGCGCTTCCGAGTGACGAAGCGCTTCTGTGACATTATCATGGCGCATGCGAGTGAAGACATTGTCGTTTAAATTGTGCTCGGTTGGAAAGTCATCTAGAATATTGTACAATCTTCCCAAAACATAATCGTCATTAATGAACGACTAAAGATTAAAACGATATCGACACTTTGAACGGGTTTCTAGTCACCCAATTACATCACAGAAGCGCCCGGCACTAGAGTGCGTAATTTAAAAAAGGTGTATCCACAATGGGAACGGAAACTTTCTGTACATAATATCAGATAATATTCTATAACTTGAGTGTGCATTACTCGGTCTTAGACGTTGTATGTTTCACTGCATTACTCGTGTTTCCGCGCGTTGTCGTTGTGTCGCAAAGTAAACTGCATTCCTTAGCACAATGCTAGGTGTGCGTGCTATACTCACAAGGGTCGTGACACGGTCAACGAAACCACGATAAACAAGCCGACCGCTGAACAACTACCCTTGTCGCGTCCTCGGTATCCTGCTTCAGTGGACGTTGCCCTTTAATATAGTATGCCGAGGTTTTAGTCTTAGACATTTCCTGTTGAACAACACTTGAACTTTAGCGTTCACGACTATTAACAATGCTGCAAGAGAATGGAACTGCAGCAAATTTCGTCTGAGCGAGAATCGCGTCAGAGACTCGTCGACGATGATCGTGTGCACGGCGAGTATCGGGCTGTATATCAACAACGATCAATCCAGGTAAGCGAAATGCCACCCTGTGAATGCCTTCGAGAAACAATTACGTGTTTACACGGCGAATCATGCATTCACTGTGACAAACATGACACAGAGCCGTAGACATCCACTGTTTGGAATTGCGTACAGGAAAAACATCATGCCTTCATGTGTACAGTTTAGTTAGAAGGCCTCGCGTGTGATCCCAACCCAAATCGGTCGCTACTTTAGCGCTATCATATATTTTAATGCGTTTTCCAACTGATGTAAACACATTCCACAAATACACCCAGCTGAGCTTTATTCGTTGCAGGATGCCCGTGTCAATGACGATGGCTTTAGAGTTATAATCCACCAACCTACCCCGCAACCAACGCAACAGATGTACAGGTCAGACTACACTATGAATTGTGATCCTTGTTTTTGTTGTAATAACTCAAAGAGCTGTGAGTATCAGTGGTATTTACAATATCATGTGTTGAATAACAGAGGTCAGTGAACTCACTTCTAGTTGTCTGTCCTCACTACGTGATATTTATCAAGAATTGTGACCTTAGAAGTATCGTCATTAATTTATATTTACAAGATACATTTAATATAGTCACTGGCAGTAACGCATAACCGGGTGATCTCAGTACGTGCGAAAGTTGTAGTGTTACTTCGTATTTGCATTCACGGAACACAATAATATGCAAAAGTTGCATTGTTCGACGGAATTGCAAAGACTGAAATACATAATATATACAAATGTCGAATATTTTGACGTATTTACATAGACGGAACTCATAATATACAAATGTTGCATTGTACTACGTATTTACATGAACGTGACTAACAATATTCAAATTTAGAATTGTTCGACGTATTCACAAAGACGGAGCTCATTAAGAATACTAGTTCAACGTATTTATAATTTTTTTCTATTACATGCACATTTGCAATGTTCTTCATATTTGTATCAACTGAATTCATTGATTCCTTAAGTGCCATCACGTGACTGATTAGTTTATCATTGCCCGCTCATTAATGTTGCTTATCGAAGTTATTTATTCACAGTAGCCGTTTAAGCTTATCTCCCGCGTTCCAGGTAGTCCACCGTAGTTCCCTACTCGTTGCTACAATAATACTGTTCGCATTGCGCGTGCAAAATCACGGCACACGGAAAGAGCAGCTTTATTCGACAACATGTCATTCTCCCATTTAGGAGTACCGTACATGTTTATTTTTTAATAGAGGTCAGTTGTGGGTGGTATGACTAATTAACCCCCCCCCCCACCCCCACACACATTATACAGGTTTTAACCTCAACAGAGATAGACATAGTTTTATTTAACAGAGGAAGTCGTCAAACAAGTGTATCGCTGTTGTGGTGAGCATTTGTATTGTTATACCGAATAAATCTCTAAAACAGAAAACGTGATGTTACGCCGTATATAGAACCTACGGTGGGATCTCATAGAGCAGAATGCATTGCACAAATCTACAAGTTGAAAGAGTTCAGATAGAATTCTACTGGGTTTTATTATCATGACTATTAATCTACCAGATGTTTTTTTTCAACCTATATTCCCAGTATATTAATCCTTTCGAATAACTACATTCGAACCCTATGTGCTGCTCAGGGCAATGTAAAACGCCAAACCATAATTAACTTTCCACCCTGCCTTTCAACACGTACATTACGCATTATATTAGATTCACTATCAAAACACACAAATACACGTTACAAAGTCGAGCTCAACAGTGTCGTATAGCAGCGAAATGTGCGATTTATTGACTCTGCAGCCGCTGTATAGGTAAATATTGAAATTGCAATGCGCGAATTTTAGTCACTGCCAAAAGTTATTATGATTAGGAAATACGCGCTGCCCCTATTATGTGATGACAGGACAAAGACAGGGACGTGTTCCGACTTTGCAAATACTTTCAATAAGTCGACAAATAATAATTGGGCCAAACATCTTTATGCATTTGTCGATTTTTCCTAACTCTATATTGTACTTGTATTTCATAGGCTGTTGCTTGTGTGTGTGTCCTTTGTGCTGAATACCAATCAGTCTGCTCGAAGAAAATGTCGCAACAAACATCATGATTCCATGAGCTGGAACTGTATTATACGCCATACCGATGTGCTGAACCACTATTTTGCACGTGTGCATATTTACTGTTGGGAACAAGTTACGTTGTACCACAGTGGTGGAGAGAACGAGATTATACAATTGAGTACATGGACATACAGATGCTGTGATTAAGTTTATAAATGATTTTTCAATGTACATTGTTATTTATATAAAATGTAATTATTTTATTTGTTCTTCATTTCACCGCCACTGGATGTACAAAAGCGATTTTTTTTGTGGGAAGTAGAAAAGAAAACTATGGTTTATATCAATTCAGTAATTTGTACCATACTGGAAGAAAATAATGTGCAGTTGAAATTTGAAGAGCGACATTAAACTTTACTGTTGTATTTGTTTGAAAAAGTCGACATTTACGTAACAGAATATGCCATACAAGAAGATAGGGGAGGAAATTAGTAATCATGTCGGCTTAAGTTGGGTCGGAATATATTTTTGTGCTGTAAAAAATTAGATTGTAATCGTTGATATTGAAAAGAAATATGGAGATATACAACGGGCTTATTTATCATTCAAAATATACACTAGTAGGTTATATGCAAATGAAGTCATCATAATAATTACTAATTCATTTGTAAAAATTTTATTGTAATTATTGATATTGAAATATGCAGAAATACAACAGGCTTAATTATTCAAATAAATACTCGCAGATCATATGCAAATGAAGTCATCACAATAATAACTAATTCATTTGTTATATTGTAATTATTGATAATGAAATATGCAGACATACAACAGGCTTAATTATTCAAATAAATACTCGCAGATCATATGCAAATGAAGTCATCACAATATTTACTAATTAAATCCAGAACAATTCAGATACATTTGATAGTAGAACTTAGCAGACTCATTTTATATGCCATCCAGTTGCTCGTTTACTGTAACTAGTGATCAGCGAATGTCGGCTAATGTACTTTTCCCGAGACTGATCATTTTACCTTAATGCCAGGATCTATGCCATGAATAATTTCCGGCTGATACACAGCGTCCTCCCACCCTCGCAAGCAGTTTAAATGATGCTCATCTAGACACAAGGTATTGTTTAATGAATGTGGTCACGTGACCAATGAATAGTAACATGT